AGAGCGCGGGCCGCACTGCATCCTAACTATGTGTTTCTTTTGTCTTTTTCTTTCCCTGATGGTGTACTTGAAGCATCCCAGGCCCTAAGACCTTGACAGTCTCATGATAAACAATAAGAAAATAAGTAAATAAATACATATGTGAATATAGATTTACTGAAGTGCTTCATTATTGTACTAGAAATGGCATATAAACTAGTACTTTATTTAGAAGACAGCAATATGCATTATTTATGCCCCGAGTTGTTCTAAAGAAGTGTCAATTAGCTTATAAAGAATTATAAAATACAGGAGAGGAAGCTAAATTTTAAGTAGATGGGAAAGATGAGGTAAATGGAAAGTGATGGTAGGGGCATAAAATGAAGCCAGAAATAAAAAACTAAGGTGATAATTATAAATTCACATAAAACCATTTTCTCTGGTCCCATGATAGTATCTTTGCCTTATTCCAACTCTGAATGTCGAAATTTTCTCTTTATTTAAAGAAGATCTATTTGTCATCTGCAATTTCTTCTAGTCTTAAGGCTGACATGCCTCCCTAACTTGCCCAAAGTTTTGGAGACAACTTTATGAAAAGCTTAAGAAAACTGGCCATTTCCCTAGAGGCCTCTCCCTCCACTTTCCTCTCCCCAGTGGCCTCTGATTTCAGGCTTTGATACAATTGTACTAAGTTATACTAATTGGTACATTCTATTCTACATGTTTAGAGCTAGTTATATTGAAAGATAAAGTGCATATTTGCATACATAAATATGCATCAGATGCAAAATAATGCACTAATATATGCCTGTGATTTATTGTATAAAATCTTAGTTCACAGTGCACCCAAAAATATCCTCACTGTTTGACGACAGGAAGAATTACTCAATTCTATTTTACTGGAAATTGTGTGCATGAAAATTTTCTCATACAGAATAAAATGATCAATACATAAATCTGACTGTCATGAGTGAAAACTGAAATATTGTCTAGGCCTATTTTTACCTTAATCTGGTTGACTCTACATTTTTTCTGCTTAATAGCACCTTTCATTATTCATGTCTGTTTTGTTCTTAAAAATCAAGGAAGTTACTAAATGTTTTAATCTCCCTGAACCTCAATATTCTTATCTATAAAAAAGAAAGAAAAAAAGAAAAGAAATTATTGTTTCCTCTCCTTGGATAAAAGCAGTATCTAAATGTTAGGTTACCTTTATTGAATCCACCTAAACAATTTGATAAGAAAATATCAGAAGTTAGTCAACATATCAATTTCATAGGGTGTTTTTGGAGCAAACTTAGTATCTTCTTCCTGTTCTGTCTAGTAGATTGATTAACTTAAAGAATGCTAATCTTTTTAATAATTAATTCATTCTGGGAGTATTTGGGGATGGGAATTACTGATTTATTAAATCAACCAACTAGTCCTATATATATATAAAGTAAGTTAATTATACCAATCACTTCACTACACTGCTGTTTAATTACATTGAATAGAAATGTACATAACAGTGCTATATGTATGAAGTATATGGCAAAAGTGATGTTATTTTATATTGTATTTATGTGTTTTATAAATATAGTAAGTGTGGCAGATGTATTAGACAGTTAATATTAAACATTTCTAACTTTCAGGGAACCTAAACCTCTTTCTCAAATTGACTTACCACATAAGTAAATCTATTAGAGCTTATGAAAATTTATTATATTTCATCCTGAACCCCATATGGGAAAAAGGACAGTTTCTCTTCAAATTATCAGTTGCAAAGCTAGTGCAGTTCCATAAGCCCGATCGATACTGATGAATAACAATGAAAAGGAGCGCGGCCTTGAACCTGGCACAACTCTATCTTCAGGGAAACTTTGAGTCGCCAGGGGATGTGCAGCTCTATGCTGGTGACATAGACCACTCTGCTCAGTTTTGAGCTTTGACGAAATAAAGTTTGCTCGGTAGGGTCCGGCTAATTTCCTTTGGGAAATCAACTCAGTAAAATCCACAGGTAGTGTTCAATTTTTGACTTATAAAGTCACAAAATTAACACTTTTCCCACCTCCCAGAACTAGGAACAAGTACACACATACACTCACACACATACATGACTTAGACTTCATTGGTATATATGTGACAAAACTATTTCAAACAGAGGCAAAATTTAGATCTTGATGAGAAGTCTGAACAGAACTCATCTCTCACATAAAATACTGATTCAAGAGATGTGAATGCAATTGTTCAGTCAGTATTAAATACAATTCTTCATAGCACGTTTAGGAAAATGTAAGCTATCTTAGGTATAATTTGGGAAGGAGCAGAAGACAAAATTGGTTGAAATCATGAAAAATTCTGTTGGGTTCATTTTTTAGTGTGAGCTATGTTAATATTATGTGTGTACCACAACTTGCACTTAGGACTGTACTTTAACTGAAATGAGTCCTTAAAAAAAAGTTTTTTCTGTGTTCTGATATAAAAAGCAACCTCCTTAACTTTTTAAAAAACTTTTCCCTTCTTAAGTTAAAACTGGGTAACAAAGTCTTCTTTCCCACCTGTCCTTAGATGTCTGACACCCTACACAAGCCTTGAAGCACATTTTGGGGCTGATGAAATGTCTTTTAGGCTCTGCTTTGAACTTTCCTGCTCCCATCCTGCTTTGGAAAACAATTCCCCAAGGGCCTCTTGTGTTTCTGCACATCTTGTGGGCAGAGGCACTGACAGTGTTTGTCCCCTGCTATCTTTTCAAGAAAGGTGTGTAGCGAACAGCCTCGGAAGACAGAAAAGGTGGTTTTCCCTATAAAGCAAAGGACGGGTTTGTTTACAGTCCAGTATAATAAAGATAATTTCTCCCTCTGTGGTAAAGGGCAGGTTTGCTTGCTGTCATTATAAAAAAAAAAATCGAGTTTCCTAAGCTCGGGAGCCTCAGCTATGATAGCCCCACCGGGCATATAGGTGCCACCTAGCCCCATCGTATCAGCCTGTAGAAACTGGTGGGTGGGTGACTGATGCAAGAAGATGACAATCCTCTGGCATCTGCTGTAGCTGTGAGTGCTAAACTGGCCTCAGTCTCTGTCTCCTGCCAGCATGCATGAAGCTGGGGCAGATCCTCCACAGCTCTCTGTATCTTATTTCTCTAGCTCCTGTCCTGTTTTCTATAAGGATTCTCTTCTCCACCTAGATCCTGTGGGTGATGACTCATTGGTTGGTCAGTCATCTAAATCTTTCAATTTAGTTTCTCTCCAAATTCCTGCCTCCTTAGTCTAAGGTCTCCCCTTGTTCATAAAAAAACAAAACACGGGATCAGTTTAAATGATAAGTGACAATGAACTAAAGTCAGAGGGATGAAAATGATAAGAACGTGGGAGTACAAAGGGAAATCTGGATTCTACGTGGAATGTGGGCCCAGGAGAATCCTTACAGCAGCTGGATTTGCAATTTTCTCCCCCGGAGACATCCTTCTTGTGTCTGGGGCTTTAGAGTGGGCTGCTCTCTGGGCCTGATGCCTTGCCAGTCTGACAGTTTGATGTTACCTTTTCACTTCTGTGTGCTCACTGCCAAGAATATTACTTCCTTAGTTGTTCTACTTCTCAGCTTCCTTCCCGCCACTTCGACAACAAAATCGGTAGACTCATACTCAGAGCAATACGGCCAGTGATCATGATTTTCACTTGCTTTATACCTCTAATTTCACAGAGTTCCAGAGGGATGAGCAATAGCCCTCGGCAACAGGAGTTCTGAGGCTCAATAGCTACTTATTATAAATGCAGATTTCCAGGCCGTGTACTCCAAGGATTTTGATTCAGTAGAGTTGATTTGGGACACATGGATTTTCCATTTTTAGTGAGCTGCTTGGGTGAATCTAAAGTTTGTCTGCAGAACATGATATGAGAAATTCTGCCCACAAACTGCCTCTTGATCCAGTATTATGCACATTTGCTCAGTCTCACAGAGATAGTGCAAACCCAAACGCATGGATTAGTCACTGACAAATCTTAGTTGATGGCAGTGATTTGCCTTGGCAGACACCCAACTTCCAGGGGTATTTAGTTATTTTTTGCCCTGAAACTGAAATATGAGACTGAAAGATTCATATAAATATGAAAACACTGCTCTGTTGTAGAATTTTGGCAGATGTTTGGGATGACGTCTGACCTGTAGTGTGATACTATGTGTGCATGATTGGCAAGGCCATCTATAGGAAGATGTGTAAGTGGAATAAAAAAAATTCGTAAGCTATAGCTTGTATACACTTGGTAAAATACTAGTACCCCCAAAGTACTTTATTTGAATAAGTTAAATAATGTGAAAATTCCTGAGAAAAATACTACGGGGGTGTTTTTGAAAAGTAAAGACTATTGCAGTCATGGCTGTTGAAATCATGAGATACAAATTAGGATGTTAATTAAGAAAAAATCTTACATCTGTGTTTTGAGATGCATTTAAAGAAAGGGTGTAACATAATGGCATTGATAGTTCTGCAGATATTTCTTACTATTCTAACTTCCTAATAATGATGTTTATGAGAAAATTTATTTTTCTCAATATTTTTCAAATTAAATAGAATTAAGTAACCTAAGTAATAGGAACAGCACAGTAACAGCCGCCCCCAGCATTTGTTTTGTTTTGTTTTTTTTTTGAGTACATTTCATTTCCATCTGGTTTGATTAGGAGTTTCACACTTATATTGAGTCAAAATACGCTACAGGTGAAACCTGTGAGAATGAAGAAAACACCATGTGTCTGCAGTGCTCTAAAGGTAAGGATACCACCGTTTAGAATGCCAGGGACTAAGATGATATTGGAAACATTTCCATCTGCACATTAAACTGAATTATGATGGGATTATTTGGGATAATTGATGTTCCGTGAAACAATTTGACCAATATTTTAACATATACACATTTTCACATCAATAAGTGGTCTTTATCAATAGATTACCTTGTAAAAACAACAACATACATTTCAGATGGCATTTTTCAGGTGGTTTACTTTTTTTCTCTGAGGTTATTTTGATAAAAGGTGATGGGACTTACAGTTTACGACAACTTTTACTTTCTTCACGTCTGGGAATGACACATCGTTTTCTGCACTGCATTCATATTCTCCAGCCTGGTCCCTGGTAATTCCATAAATGTCCAAATACTGTCCATTTTCAAATGGTTTTGCTACAAGAAAAAAAGCACAGCATGTTTAATTGTAGCCGCCCGAGGCTTCATTCAAGTAAAACAACAATCTCATGTCTTCCTATTAGATACTGCGGACAAAACAATTTCCAATGAAACTAGGGAATTATTGAAACCTTTGTTCTCTTATGTTCAGAGGAAAAGTCAGAGAAAAAAAGCAGAAGCCGAACAAGGGATGCTGTAACAATACTGTTTCCCCAGACCAGGATATACATGTGTTTTTTTTAATTGATTGTGGTCTCCTAACCTTGTCACCCATCAAATAGAGCTGTGCACATTTCTGTAATTGAGTTCAACAACCTCCTAGCAGTGTAGATGAAGTTCACTAATATCACTTGGTTCTTATTGACTTTTACACACTGTATGCTAGCAACTTGACACTTAACCTAACTAAATGTTACTTTCCTTTTGGGGAAATCTCATAGTCATTCTCAAGGCTTCAAGCCAGATGGCTTGATAAGAGTATAGAGATATAATGAACCATTACCATGTCTCAGTTTCCAAAATTATAAATTTTTCCAGGAGAGGTACAACTTATATACTATATTTGACCCACACAATAAACGTCAAGAAAATCTTTATGGCCTTTAAAAGGTAAGTGGTCATATAAACATATTAAATTATCTTTACTTTTAATATTTCAGGGAAAACATTCTATTTGACTAAAAATAGCAGCAGGTTAAAAATATAAAGACATAATCACAGGTGAAAGAATATCCCCCAGTGAGTTAGATTTGATAAAAGAAAGACACCTTCTGAAAAAATGGAATTTTTATTTATTTGAAAGCATTGTATCATTGGGCAGGAAAGGTTGTGATTATCATGGCAAAGGAAGAATGGGCCTATGTGAACTTCAAGAGGCGGGGCCCTTCTCCCTCCTTGCACAAGTCTTTAAAAATCACATTTCAAAGCATACCAAAGAGAACTGGAAAATGAAACAATGATTCCATTAAGTGGTCTGTTTTCAAAATCAACCTTATTTTTGTTTTCATCTTATTCTGTTACTGAAACTATTATAATAATATATAAATTATAAAACCAGTAAGATTTAATTTTATATGAATAAAACAGAAGAAAATGTAGTTATGGTGCTTCAAATCTAAAATCCATGTCAATGAAAAACATTTCTTATTTTTTCCTGTGGGCTCTGTTACCTGGGCCTAAATCACTTGCAACTCTGTCTGCCTTCCAGATAACTATGGCTTTGTTATTTGCAACCTGGAGTTTAGGATTTACTGTAAATGACTGAGTCATGTCTCCTTTTTTTTTCCTGGCTAATCACAAGTTGTACATAGAAGAGAGTTATACTTCTCGGGTGGTGGTTCGCTGATAAACTATTTTGAGAATAAGAAGTAAACTCACAAAAGCAGAAGTTGTCTCCACAGTCCATATTCTTAAAATCTGATTTTATAATCATTTTCTAAGTTCAACCGGGGTCCTTATCTGACTCCAATATACAAATAAGACATTTATTTTCTATTGTTTTATTCTATTTCTCTTATTTTCACCGTTATAATGAAGATAATCTAAGCTTAAATGTGTCTGTAAAAAATATAGGGGGTACAGAATCCCTAATCACATCCTAGAATTTTTAAAGTATAACTTGAATTATAAAGTAAGGGAAATATTAAATGGAAATTAAGGTATGGAAGAATTGATATACTGTATCAGAATTAAATAACCTAGTTGAACAAATACAAAAGAAAGGCAATCACAAGTTAAAAGGTGTACTGTTGTGAAACTTTGTAAAAACAAATTTATTAGGGCCTAAGTTATTTTCCATACTAAAATGTACTCGAATACTCCTGGTTTTGTGTACTGACGTCATTTAAGAAATTGTGTCTTGCAAAATGCATCCTTTTGATAAAAAGCATACATTATACCTGTTTGATTAATCAACTATTATCTAATTCTTAAATAAATCATTAAATATTGTGTGTGAGTTTATGTGTTACTGTTTTTGCTGTTTCAACATTGTAGACATATGAACAAGTGCTCTTAAAGTATTGAAGGATAGGAAGGAACACAATAGATAAGTATGTCTAGCTCACTCTCTCCCTCTCTAATGGCAGGTTCTGAAAAATTGAGAGCAACTATATTAAGTTGTATGACAAAAATATCACCAATATCAGGACCACTGGATCAGTCAACTCCAGAGAGCACCATTTATATCTATTGGATATGTTTATTCCTGGAATTCACTACATATTCTACCTAATGATTTTTAGGGACCCTTCTCAACTCCACCATGGAACAATGACCCTATTTACAACTCCCCGAATTAGCAGTAAATATTTTGCATTTCGTAACTCAGGAGCTAGAGAACCAGTGAATGAATGGTATTCCCAACACTAACTATCAGCCGTATAACACTAATATAAAGAAACTTAGGGGGAAAAGCATAACTTCATGGTTAACTTCATTTTTCTCACTCACATTCACCGTACCATGGATCAGCTCTCCCTAAGCATGTGTTCTAAGTATTCTCTTGTTTTTACAGAAATAGCTTTGCTTCCATCCTGAATTTATTCTTGCTCTTTTCTTGGTCTTATCTCACCAGGCTGAAATTTCAGATGTGAAACTTGGAGTGGCTGAGAATTCGAACCCTGAAGCTTTCTCGTCTGCAATGGGCTTGGCTGCCTCCGGTGTTCGTTGTCCTCTGTGTTCCCTAATAGTAATGCTTCACCTTAGTTTTGGAGCCAAGGAAAGCAATCCTCTTTTATACTTGGCTGAGTTGCTCTTTTTTCCCATCACTCTCCCCACGAAGGGCGAGGTTCTGGGCATAGTACCTTAAAATGCAAAGAGCATTTCAGTTCATGCAAAGTAACCTAACTAATCTCCCCAAAGGAAGCGGGGATGATCCCCTCAGGGATACAGGGAGCTAGAGGCCCGAGGACCAGGGCCAAGGCCAAGCCTTCACAATGTTTAAATATGTGCTACCTTAGGGTGCTCCTATAAATCTAGAAAAAAAACACAAACACCGTGTAATATTTTTATCATTTAGGGTATCGACATAAATAAATGTCGATGACACATAAGTGCACTGTGACAGGAAGCCCTCTCTGGTCACAGGTTTTGCCACTCTCTCTGAGCGCAGTGACCGTGTCTGTTTTGTTCGTCCCTGTATCCAGGGCTCTAGCGCAATGCCTGGAACATCACACCCTTGGTAAATATTTATTTATAAATAAATAAGCATATTTATAAATGAGTTAATAAAGTCCTGTAAAGACAGAGCACAGAGAATCAAAACTAAACGCTTACATTCAAAGACGTTGTCACTTCTCTCTCCCAGTCGTGAAGAAGGGAAAAGATGTAAAGAGAATTGTCATCTTATCTGACATCGTGAAGTGATAGGTGATGACAGTGGTGAGAACAGACTACAGATTTCATAGATCCTTTGTAAAATCATAAAGACTAACAAAACTTTCAATACGATTTGAAGAACAAAGGATAAGTGCTGCCTGTAGCCTAAACAATAGTTTTCTTTTGTGTGGAGTCTCTCCCAGGCATAGGTAGACTTTCTCAAAAAGTGACGAACTAAAGAGATACCCCATGCTTTCAGTAATGTCACTGTTATCACTGCCTGCTAAGGGGGAGATGAAAAAATAGGATGTAGCTACGCTTTATAAAAATCTCTCTCCTAAGATTTATAAAAACCTGGCCAGAAAGATTTCTATGGTGGCCTCTAAAAGGGTATTTAGATTTGGTTTCATAGTTTGATAGGGCATATGAACCATACTTTATATTGCACATAAAAATTATTAGCAACAGCATCAAATTTCTACAAAATACTGATAAGAGTCAGAAAAAAATTTCCACAAAATACATCTTGAGTCCCTTCACTTCTAGGGCATCCTCCTTTGCTAGTTTCCCTCTCATCTCTCTGACCATTTCCTTTCACTTTTTCCAAACCCTTTACTTTTTCACATTTCTCAAATATTGTTTTTGTCCTATGACCTCTTTTTTTCTCACTGAGGACACTATTTGGGGGGATCTTGTTCATTCATTTGCATTTCATTACTATTTATGTACTGATACATCCCTAGTTATCTACTTAGCCCATGTCTATATCTCGACACTTACACACATATGTTTAACTGGCCATCTCCGTTTGGATGACTCACCGCATCTCAGAGCCAACAGGCCAAAAACAGCCTTCCCTTCCCGCCGTTCCCATAGCTCCTCCGGTGTCTAAGACTCTGCGAGTGCTTTGATCACCACCCACTTGCTCAAGCCAGAATCATTATTATTAACTTTGACAGCACATTTTGTCTCAGTGCATACAACCATCAGGCACCGTGTCCTGCCGATTTTGCCTCCTAAGTAATTCTCAAACCTTTTCTAGAAGCCCTTGTGTCTCAGTTCCTGACCTCTGATGGCACATACTCAGGTGACCTCCCCATCATTGCATACTGACCTGCAGAGTCATTTCTTTTTTTAAAAAAAATATATTTTTATTGATTTCAGAGAAAGGAAGGGAGAGAGAGAAAGAGAGATAGAAACATCAGTGATGAGAGAGAACCATTGATCAGCTGCCTCCTGCTGGGGATGGAGCCCGCAACCGCGGCACATGCCCTGACTGGGAATTGAACCGCGATCTCCCGGGTCATAAGTCGATGCTCAAGTGCTGAGCCACACTGGCCGGGCTGCAGAGTCCTTTCCCAAAACCCTTGCCCAGAAAGGGTCATCTACTTTTCAAGGTCTCTCTGCAGGAGTGTATTGTGTTAGTATCTCATAGCCATCTGTTACTGGATGGTACTCTGCAAACGACTTTTCAAAATATACTTGAATGGTGTGTTCACCTTCATGATTGTTAATATTTTCTGTCAGCTTGTCACCCACCAGCATAGTTGGTATCCTGCAAGAATCTCTTCTATGGACTATATGATACTGATTGGTTAGGGACGCGGGTTCTAGAACCTAGTAGATCTGCCTTCGAATCTCAGCTCTGCCATTTATAGCTATGGGACCTTACACAGTAC